GCTGGGCGCTCAGGCGTGCTGCCGGGCAACGCCGAGGCCCGCTGGGCATTGCCGGCACGCTACTGGGCGTGCTGGTCGTGCGTGGTGACTGGCCAGCATGCGTGACACGCTGCTGGCGCCGTGTTGTGCGCATGCTATGTGCGGGCAGGCACTACGGTCGGCCTATCGCCGGCCGTCCGGCAATTTTTTCCGGCAACCCACATATGACTGATCATAAAATGACTTGAATTGACTAAATATGCGTGAATTGATCGGGACTTGCCGGTTAGATCTTGAAATCACTCAGAGAGGGCTTATATAGCACCTCCGAAGCCGTTTTCGTGCGAAACTTAAATCGAATGACATGATTTTGACATGATCTTCCTAATATGAACTTAAATACATGAAAAGAGGGTAAATAAGAGTGTACCCTTCAATTCGCTCGTGAAACGCATGGCAACTTGCGTGCTTGTTCGGTACTTGAGTGCTATGCGTATATGTTGCCCTTGGCTTTGGCTATCTCTTAAAAATTTTTCCCAAATTTGCCTCACTATTTTCACTCGGTTTTTAGCTGATATAAGTCTCAGTTTCTTGCATGAAAATTCATAGGAAACTCACGGCTTTGGCTATTAATATAGGTAAGATAAAAGGAGGTGAATGATGACTCGTTCTATTGGGACGACACGTGTCATCACCGTGTGCTCCCGTGGCACTTCCGTTACTTAGTCACGGGCTGAGGTGGCATACAAGGAAGTAGATGGCATGGGCATTGCTTAACTAAGCTTAAGCAGAGCACTTAATTAAGTATAAACATGGATTAACAAGGCTAATCATGGATTAACACGCTAAATATGGATTAATAGGCTAAGCATGGATTAATTAAGAAAGGGTTAATGACAATTACTTAAGCATAAGCTAATGATGGGCGGTGTACCAATGTGAACGCGTCGCTGTATAGGAACGACGACGTTCATATATGGTAATCTTAACCGAATGTACTTATTTTCAGTTACAACTTGACCTCAGAAATTAATTTGAATATTATCTTAACTTAACCTCATTAATCCCAAACTTGTTTATTATATAAATGCATGGGATTAAATCTTAAACTCATTCGGTTATTGAAATAATTAAACCGAATATTAAGTCGACTAAAAGTCGAACTTAAAGCTAAAACTCAATAACTGGCTCGAAACCCATCTTTGACGATTAATCGAATATTCTCACTTCAATTATATGTCGTCATTGAAATAATTAATCCCAACTTGCTGACGTCCATTTATTAAAATAAACGAACTGAGATTAATTACTATCATTGACTCAGTTAACAAAATTAACCGGATATACTTTCGACTTAACGTCGAACTTGGAATAAACTGACTGAATAACTTAGACTTGAACATTAACATGAATATTTATTAACAAAGGCTACCTTATACTTACAAGCTAGTATTTTCCTTTATTAATAAAATTTGGGGCGTTAGAATCCACCCTCCTTAAAATATTTTCGTCCTCGGAAATACTAAAATGAATGTACAAGCTTAACTCGAAGCTTATACTTAACGATGACATAACTTAAGATTTCAGTATTTGAATACTGAACAGTAGACTTGATCTTAACTGGAGTGTCATCCATTCACAATTAAGTGAATTGTTGATTAATACTGGCTGAACATGGGCACTTTTCTAAAGAAAAGTGTCTCATTGATTGAATTAAAGGCATAACTCTTAGGTGCACTGGTCATCGACTTCTGGCTGATTGCTGGTCCTCGGTCTGAACGTTGATTGTGAAACCCAAGTCGTTGGTACATATGGAAAATTTCAGAGATATGCACGTGTACAAATGAGGATAACTAGCAATCTCGGTTACTACTTTTCGTGAACATCTACTCGATAACGTGGCACATCGTTCGCGGCACATTGCAATGCAGCACACCTGCTCCTCATCTGGTGAGGGCGGCACGCCTGCATGCAGCACCTGGCGAACATTGCACCTGCAACGTCGACGTAGTCTGTATAGCTGATCATATCTGTATCTCAAACTAGTAACCTCAATGTATTATAATGCTAATTCTTCGTAATCTTCAAGTGTACTGTAACTTAGGCATGGCATCCTTCTCTTCTTGCGACATGCGTTCTTGAATGGAAAGCTCTGGTTCGTCTCCACAGTGTTGTTGATGTTACTGATTGGCTCTTCATATTGTACCTGCAAATCTTTACCTCTTCCTGAGGCCAAATTAACCTCAAGAAAAGTCTATCATGAACTAATCTTTCTTGTGATTTCTCAAATTTTCTGAATTTGAGAATCGAGGCACTGGACATACTTGAAATAACTGATAAGTCTTGTCTTATTAGACATGTTATCATCTGACTCGGTAAAGCGTAATTAAGGACCCAAAATAGCACCATAAGCAAATTTGACTCGAATACCGATGTAACTTAGAGTCATCCCGTTTCGCACAATAAACCGGCACGACCCCAGAAGACCGAAGTGATCCTTTCCCGCCGAGGTCAATCCAAACTGAGGTCAACATGAACCGAGCTTGTCACCTCCTAAAGCAGGTGACAAGGCGCCTACACGCCCCTTGTCACAATCTACGAGATTTGTCATCATTCATATGGGTCCCACTGAGTCGGCCGCCCATCAAAAGTAGATTTTCCTAAAAAATCGTACACGGATCCCAATGTATGTGTATAAAAGTTACTATAAATAGCTGGTTAGGGAGACCGGTACGGGATTCGATTCCGGACCCAACATTTCTTACAATGCAACACGCAACAGCCCACAGAGGATTTTCACCTCGGTCCACCTCGGACCGGGGCCATTGTTGAGTCTTTGTCACATATTTTACGTCTAAACCACTCGAAATTATCACGTAAACTCCACGTTAAATCGTTGTTAAGAATCATACAACAACAGTTTGGCGCTAGAAGGAGATGATTTGAGGTTACTTTTCGACTCGTGTTTAAGCGATCCACACCAGCTACACCAATCATGTCTCATTCTGATAATCGCGTCCAAACTTCACGCGATGGTCACAGTCGTAACGCCGCGCAATCCACCCGACGACCAGTCATAGCCCCCCATGTACCGGATTACACTGTTCTATTCCAAAATCAAGAGTTCGCACGTGGGTTCGCCACCTTGATGGCTCAAACGATCCCCGGGGCGTCAACGACTGCCCCGGGACATTCCATAATACCCACGACACCTGCAAATCCACAGAATCCACTGGCACGGCAAGACGGCGGAAGGACCACATCTCACGCCACGTCTCAACCCCGCAGTCGAGCATCACAGCCGCCTCCAGATAAAACCACACGTCGCACCGACGTTGGGCGCAATCCCCCTATACTTCCTCATGAAGAAACCGCCGAAAGCCAGTCTGGTCATTCACGACGGTCACCGCCTCATGCGCGGCACCGAGTCCCCTCCAACCCGGTGCAGACCGATCTTCGGCAACATATAGAACGAAATCGGGCTCGTCACGAGTCATCCGAACTTGAAACATTGCGACGAAGAATTGCCGAATTGGAAAGTCGGCAACGAGCACCCGAAGAACCCCCTCAGCGGGCCTCAACCTCAGCGCAAGTATATCTGGAAGCCGACTCCCCTCTCACGCCGGAGCTTACGTCGGAACCAGTACCTGGGAAAGTTAAAGTCCCTCAAATTTGGCTATATGATGGAACTTCGGACCCTGATTCGCACCTCGGTCATTATACTTCGTGGATGGATCTGCATGGGGCCTCGGACGCACTCCGGTGTCGTATGTTTTCTCTCACATTGGGACCTCGGGCCCAAAAATGGTACCATTCTCTTCCTCCTCACTCTATTTGGAAGTGGCAACAATTGAGGTCGGCGTTCCGATCACATTTCATCGGGGCCCAAGTCTGCCTAATTCCAAAAGAATCTCTTGCAAATGTAACCCAAAAAGATGATGAAAGTGTCAAGGACTATATCGCCCGATTTAACGACCGAGTCCGGAATATGGAGCCTTGTCATCCCGAAACCCTGCTTGTCATGGCTATTGCCGGGTTGAAACCGAACTCGATTTTCCGCTGGACGTTGTGCCAAAATAAGCCAAACACCTTTCAAGAATTTTTCGCTCGGGCTCAGTAGCACATCATAGCCGAGGAAGCCATGTCGGTCCCCGACTTTAACTTTAACCCGAAGTCATCCAAGGCGGGAATCGACGAGAAAAATAAAAATAAATTTTTCGAAAAACAAAGCAAGGCTCAGTTCAGAGGACCTCCTCGTGGAGATCCTAACGATCCTGAAGTTCGAGCAGCCCTATGCTACCGATGTTATGTCCGGTTATCAAATCGTATATTCCGCAGGGGCTGCCACCATATATGAAGAAATCAAGGGGAAAGGTATCTTACCAGATCCCAAGCCACTCCGGATGCCCGAAGAGAAATTAGACAAGTCCCGGTATTGTGATTATCATAAATCGCCAGGACACAATACTAACGAGTGCTTGAGCCTGTTAGCTGCTTTGTTGCGTTTAATCGGTCATCCACAACTTAGAAAGTTCTATCGCAACACCAATCCTCAGAAACGGGGTCCGGGGCGTCCAATGGAATCTTATGATGATGATGACGATGAGGACCGCGGTGCTATACCGAAGCGTATCCGACAAGGAGACAAGGAAATATTCATGTTCACTTCGGAAGCGCTCGATTCCAATTATACTGAAACCTCTCGAAGACGCAAGCGAAGCAGATCCCCCAGCCCGATGCAAATAACTGTCCATCGCGTCAATACCAACAACACTCGAAGTACACTATCCCGTCGACAAGTCAAAGCTTACGCTCGACAAGCGTACAACTCCAGTAAACAAGTGTATACCACCGACCTGAGAAACATCCTCAATAACAAGAATTGTCCCATAACTTTTAATATGGAGGAAGAAAATCATTTCGCACACCCTCATTCAGACGCACTTGTTATTACTGTTCCTATATGCGGAATCCCTGTGCATCGCATAATGGTCGACATTGGGGCCTACTCGAGCATTCTGATGTTGAAAGCCTTTGACAAAATGGGTCTCGATCCTGCTGACATCCGACCCTGTAATAACCAAATACAGGGGTTTAATGGCAGTATTTCAAAGCCCCTCGGCGAGATCACGTTTCCTGTTAGATTTGGCACTTCGGAGAACGTCACCAAACTCGTTATGGAGACTTTCAAGATTCTTGATATCAGCAACGAGTATAATGCCATCATTGGCAGAACCGCGTTGTACAAACTTCGAGCTGCGGTCTCGATCTTTCATTACGCACTGAAGTTCCCGACTACACGAGGAGAAGGAACTCATTTTGGAGATCAAAGGGAAGCTCGAGAACTTGTAACTTTCGTACCATCCAGCGGAGTCCATTCCATCACTTCGGGAAATGATAACCGTTCCTCACAACGCAACACCTCGGATAATGTAATTTCTGAGGAACAGAGCTACAACACCGTTGTTCCTCCTACCTCGGATCCTTTATCTGAAGACCGAGGTAGGCGGCCAGGAAAGGAGCCACTCCTCGAGGAAGACGAGTTGGACCCAAGGGCCCAATTCAAAGAAAAAAGCCGAAATGATCGAGCCGAACCTGGAGAAAAAGTGGAATTGATATACGTCGATGAACTGATCTTCCATAAATCATTGCGTATTGGAAGTCACCTTCAGGAGCCTCTCCGGTCAGAACTCATTTCGTTTCTCAAACAGAATTCAGATGTGTTTGCATGGAAACACGAAGACATGAAGGGCATCGACCCCGGTGCCGCCAGTCACAAGTTGAACCTCGATCGAACTGTCCGGCCTATTGTGCAGAAGCGAAGGAAATTGGGGCCGGATCGTCAGCAAGCACTGGAAGAGGAAGTTAAAAAACTCATCGACAACAAGTTTATTAAAGAGGCCAAGTACCCGACATGGGTCTCAAACCCCGTCCTCGTCAAAAAGAGTAAAGGCCTGTGGAGACTGTGTATTGATTTTTCTGACTTGAACAAGGCATGCCCGAAAGACAGTTACCCTCTCCCCCATATAGATTATATGGTTGATGCCACGTCGGGACACGAGCTGATGAGTTCTATGGATGCTTACTCCGGTTATAATCAAATCCCCATGGATCCTGAAGATTCCGAACACACCTCGTTCTATTCAGCACGAGGTTTGTACTGCTATACCATGATGTCGTTTGGTCTAAAAAACACCGGAGCCACTTATCAGCGCCTTGTCAACAAAATGTTTGCCACGATGATTGGTCATACTATGGAAGTTTATGTAGATGACATGCTTGTCAAGTCGGTACACGCTTCTGACCATATAACACACCTTCAAGGCATGTTTGATATCCTCTGATCTTATTCCATGGTTTTAAATCCCAAGAAGTGCACCTTCGGAGTTGAGTCTGGAAAATTTCTGGGCTATATGGTCAGCCAGCGCGGAATTGAGGCCAACCCAGCCAAAATAAAAGCCATCCAAGACCTAACTCCCCCGACTTCGGTTAAAGGTGTCCAGGCCCTAACTGGTCGACTTGTTGCGCTCAACCGATTCATTTCCAAATCCACGGATCGTTGCAAACCTTTTTTCGAAGCAATCAAAAAGGGAAAACGCTTCGAATGGACCGAAGAATGCCAAAAGGCTCTCGTCAGCATTAAGGAGACACTCGCCTCTCCACCGACGTTACAAAAGCCGAGACCCGAGGAAATGCTGTTCTTGTACCTCGGAGTCAGTGACTCTGCGATCAGCGCTGTTTTAATACGTGAAGAAGGAACGCTACAATCGCCTATTTATTACATCAGCAAAGCCCTATATGATGCCGAACTGCGCTACCCTCCTATGGAAAAGTTGGCATTTGCACTTGTAATTGCCGCTCGGAAATTGCGACATTATTTCCAAGAACATTCTATTACGGTTCGCACTTCGTATCCATTGCGACAAGTCCTACACCGACCTGACACCTCGGGACGCATGATAAAATGGGCCATCGAGCTCGGACAATTCGACATCCAATATCAACCGAGGACTGCAATCAAGGCACAAGCCTTGTCCGACTTCATCGCTGAATTCACTCCGGCTATAACGGTTCATGATGACAATCAGCCGTGGGTTCTTTATATCGATGGATCCTCGACAGCCAACCGAGCAGGTGCAGGAATAGTCCTGGAAAACCCAGAAAATCGATTATTCGGTCATTCGGTGAAATTTCTCTTTCCTGCGACGAATAATGAAGCCGAATATGAAGCTTTGCTGTCCGGCCTAAATTTGGCTGAATCTGTAATATCCCGATATTTTATCGGTATAAATTACGTTTTAATTCTGATATAATAATGTTATCGTTTATTATTTTTGGAATTAATTATTTTCAGTCGGAATTACCGAAATCCATTTTCGACGTAGCGTTTACGTCCGAAATAATTTTGGTAATTAAGTATTATGTTTAATTGAATAATTTAACATGAGATAAGTGATAATAACCACATTAAGGTTCATTGCCGTGAGATTAAGGCAAATTTCTCCCAAATTTAATATTAATGCCGTGAGCTTACCTTAGCAAAGGGAAATAAAATTTAGCCAATCAAATTAAGATACTTGGCATCACAAGAAGGTGCTTAGTCATTAGATGAGTTCATGAGATCAAATAAAGTGTCAAGCTCTTAAGTAAGCCACACCACACTTATGTCATGCCATCATCCCTTCGACCATCTATAAAAGGAGGTAAGTTTGGGAAATTTTCACCATCTTTTCCCATACATAT